TACTTAAAATTTTCATGCGTGATAAATAAAATTACCTTAAAGGTTAAGCACTTGCTGAACTGCAAATATATCCTTGTCTGGTCTGGCGCTTGGAGCCACTACTGTCATCACTCCTGACAGCAAGAGAGACTGTTCTGAATACTCCTCCCTTCTCTTTCCATAGGAAGAGTCTCAGAAAAGATCTTTTATTGTCTAGAGCACAACTGTTTTGCTTATGTATAAGGTACACTTCGTAAAAGAATAAAGAAATGAAATACAGTAGGGTTTATACAGCATGTTTTATAAACACTAATCTACATAGTATTTAGAAGTGGTTGATTTAAAAACAAGAAACATTTCTCCACATGCTGAAGCCATAGCCTTTATATTTGCCATTAAAGTGCTGCATTTTTGAGGAATACTGAAATTGGTAATGGAAGGAGATAAAGAACTAAGCCTGCATGTCCTCTGAGATATGATATGGCTATTGAAAGAGATGTGTAATCCCATTGAATAAAATTTGATACAATTTTAACAGGATTTTACATTTACTGAGAGCAGCAATTCTAAAGTGGAAGAAGGGCCTCCAGAAAGGCCAGTCTGCAGCTGTGAGCTCCACTTTGCTTTCAGCTGCTCAACTCTCTAATGTTTTTACATGACTATTTCACACCTGCGTCTGCTGCCATTGCTCTAAACTCAGCAAGGAATAGGGAAGAGTAGGACAAAATTGTTTCTATAGTGAAGGAGGGGCCACAACTGCCCATGGAGGCCTTTCTTCAATAGATTATAGCCTACAGGGAAGAAGGTAAGTCTTTTGTGAAGAGCAATAACCGTTGTAGAAGTAGCTTCACATGACTGCACTTGGTACCAGTTGAGCAATTTTTGTGTTCTCTACTTTCTGATTGAGAGAGTAGCACCACTGGGGTTTTCACTGTCCATGGAATTTGGGTAAGATACACAAAACAGCCCCTCAATGCCCAAGATGCCTCCTGTTCTGGAAGATAAGCATATCTGGTACATGGTGTGAAAGAATAAAACCAGCCATTTTACAAAAAGAATGCTACTTTTATTTTCAAATGCTGTAAAAAGCCTCATATAAATTTTTATAATGCTTCTATGTAACTTTCCCAACCACAACTAATGAAACAGTCTAGGAAAAATATAGCAGTTGCCATTTCGACTCCAAGAACGAGCTGCTGTAAGATATCAACATTAAAAGGACAAGGTACAGTATGTTACAATGCTTGCAATTGCTCATATTATTGAAAAAGTGAGAGCACTTCCTAAGCATTAGAGTATAACCGGGCTAAACTGCAGTATTCCCTACTTGCTGCTGCACAGGAGGAAAGTCACCTCTTCAGAAGGAGCTGACGCAACACCCTTTGTACTGCTTCTGCCCATTTTTCTCAGTGTGGAGAGCTTTCAGCAAGCCCTTTTGCACTTAGGTGAATTCACCCATGTCAGATGCTATTATTCCATACTGTATCCAACGGCTCAGGTGTTTTAACAATTGACCTATAAAAATAACACTTATATAACTCTCCAGCAAGGCAAATTTAACAGTGCAAATGCAGTATCAACAATATTTGATTTCTGAATGCTGGCAATTTTTTTAACTCCTTTTGCACATGAAACAACCTCTGCTGATGTCCTGGAGCTAAGGCCACTCACTCACGCTGATAGGAGATGGAACAAAGTGCAAAAGCTCAGCTGCGTTTCCCAATCCAAGCTTCCTCCCCAGTTTCAGGGTATTCAGATCCAGAATTTGGATTCAGGCTCACCACTTCCATCGACGCACTCAAGTTTTCCCTGCTGGAACAGGTTAACTTCCCAGCAAAGCTCTGATTACAATTTGCATACACAATTCCACATTTTTAACAGAAGTTAACAAAACATACTTCCAGAAAATAAATTTTCACATGGTTGCAATCATCAAGCCATTTCAGGATCTTTGGTACTCCAAGAATAAGAAAAATAAATGGCACAGTGACAAACATCACCAAAGGAAAACACACAACCATCCAAAGGAATAAGACAAAAGATAACAACAGATATGTTGCACTTCCATTTTTTGAAAGCCAATGTAGATTAACCTTCTGTTCTCTTTAGTCCATTACAGTGTCACAGTTTCACCTTTAAAAAAAAAACTATCCTAAAAGCAGCAGTTAATATTTTGTTTAACTTGACTTACTGATTAAAATAATGCTATGTTTAAAAAAACCCAAAATAACCAGAAAACAAACTACCACAATGCAGGAGTTGACGCTAAATAGGCTGCAGGCTGTTTCCCTATGGATGTAACTCCTATGTGAGCACTGATATGATTAATCATCCGCAACTTTAAATGAGTCTTATCTTTAGTGTTACAAATATGAGGGTTGAGCTTTTTTCCCCAGGTTTGTAAACCAGTGAGTATGTACAGACATAGTTGTTCAATAGCTTTAAATTGTGTATTTATCTCCTGTCCCCCAAACCCTGCATGTATTTACTCAGCATTAGCAGTTTCCATGAAACTTATCTTGTCTCAGCAAGTTCAAGCAAAGACCTGTTTATATTATGCAAATAGGGTTACTCTGGTCCTTTGAAATGTGTTGATCACAGGAATTCCACTTCTGGTGCACATAGTGCCCCATGAATGATATAGGAAATAAAACTAATAAAAATCCTCTCTTGAATAGCAGTGTCCTTTGAGGCCAGGTTTGCATCACAGATATTTTCTGCCAAAGCTCCTCTGTCTTTTAGAATAGATTGGAGGCCTTAAAAAAGGGATTTCCGTTCCTGAGAAGCCTCAGAAGCTGCTAGGGCACTGGCAGAATGAAGCCTCAAAGTGTAAAGATGGACTGAAGTAAGTGACTGTCTCTGGACAGTCTTTGGATGGGTAGAAGTTGAACTTCACTACACTGACAAGGCTAAGAACACTGGGGAATTTCTGAGGGACCTTGTCCCGACAGTATAAGGTCAGGGAAGAAAAAGGAGATCAATGAACTGTTCCCACACAGTGACCAGCATTTAGGCAAAAGCATAAACTGTATAAATTGGATGGGCCTTGAGGCACTGGCTGCTCCTCTTTGATGGCCTGACTACTACAAATTTTTGCAGAAATGCAGTATAAATAACAGAAGGAAAACAGAATATTGGAGGAAAGACATATCACTAAGGCCTTAAGGAACCTAGTAGCTGTTGGATTGGGGAAGACCACACACACGAGCAAGCCACTGATGCACATAAATCTTGCTGGCACATGTTCTTTTATGCAGCAGATGAACACCCCAGTCTGTTTTTAAAACATACAAATAATTGAGAACAGCTGCACCATGGTGCCTAACAGCAGTAAGTATTTCTGTAATGGCTTTATAAATAGTCCCTTCCATTTTGCTGCAAAAGCCAGTCTAATGGAGCCTTCCCTAGTCTATTCCAAAACATTCAGTGCTTCACTCCAATGGGCACTGCAGACATTTTAGTGTCTGTCATTTCCGTTCACAGGAAGACAGCAATAATGACTCTGCTTGTTTAATTACTAGGGAAATGTTCATTGCTGTAAATCTCCTTTGTAACCAGAAAGTGACATCAAAGATCTCTGCTGTATTGTGATAGATCCAAAGTACTGCAGATAATATGCTGGGACAGGCAGAGATATAAGTAAATTTGCCAGCAACCAAATAATTGCAAACTGTGCAGTTCAATCCTGAACTGCTGCTGGGCCAAGAAGCAAAACCATACACTGCAAATGGAGGGATTTCTGCTTCAGTTTCCTTGACCCAGGAGAAGATGACCTGTCTCTGCTGCTGGTCTGTCACCATCCTGCAGACTGTGGAGAAAAGCAGTTGGATGTTCTGCCCAATTCAGTTGTGGATGTTTGTGGTTCCTGGAAACTGGACTGCAGACTTATCTGATCCTTTGTAATCCCATGGTCCATGTTAGATGGAGATACTAGAAGACAATGGGGCCGACAGGAGAGTCTGACTACAGTGGGGGCTCTATTTCCTCTAGCTTAGCAGAGGCTGCCACAGGGTATTCTAGAAAGACAAAGCTAAAGCAAGGATCCCTTCTGCCTGGAACTTCTTAGGGTGACAAAAAACAAAAAACAACAATTTGGTCACTCTTCTAGAACACGTTTTGCACTGACAGAAAAAGCTATTCGAATTACAAGCAGCAAAAAGATGGTCTGCTTTACAGCAGAGGCAGGAAAGCAGTCCTGGAAACTGCCATCTCTTCAGAACTTGCTATCAGAAAATCTCCCTTCTGTTAAAAATATTTATGATTTTTACTCAGATTCTTTTTTATTTCTGAAGATGCCAACAGGCATCATCATCTTAAACAGTAACACCCACAAACTATCATTTAAAGCCACTGAACAGATCACACGGACACTCTCACCACCACACGCAGTGAGAAAAGGAAGAAAGAGAAGAGCTGATCACCTGATAAAGCCCTCCAGTGGGGAGAAGTGAGGGTAGGCAGGGTACACACAGACCCACAGGACACTGCTATTTAAAATAACTCAGTGTTGCCACACTCATGGAGTATCTGCAGACCACAACCAGAACACTGTGGAGCAATTGTTCAGAGAATTTTGCAAATGTGGGCAATGGGTTTTTATACTGCGTATCTAAAACAATAACAATGCTGCATAAAATGATATGTTTTACTCCTGGCTGGATTAGATGGTTTACAGTACAAAGCCACAGTACACAGAGGCATAATTAACCGTTATACACACATAGGCAGTGCAGTTAAAGGGATGTACGTTCCTTTTATTCCAGTACCTTTGTATAATAAAGTTAACAAAAATATTCAAATATTAAAAAAAAGGAAAAAAAAAAGAAAGAAAGAAAAAAAAAAGCCAGCTGGCACTGCCAACTAATTCCTGTAGTAGTCTCAGAAATCCTAATCCTGTAGAATTTCCTTGTGAAATTGATGCGCACCAGAGTCAATGTATTGATAACTAACGCCAAGCGGGTCTGGTGATGCAGCTACCTGAGGTTTGTGTTTTTATATCTTCTGTGGGTTTGTGTTTTGTTTCACAACTTCCCGGCTTTCATGTAGGAAGGGATTGAGCCACGCTGCGTGAGCCCTTCAAACCTCTTGTAGGTATAATTGAGGAAAACCCAGTCTTTGGATTTGTAGTCAGGTTCCGTTGTGTTTGGCACTGGAATTCAGAAACAAAAGTAAAAACAAAACAATTAAACCCCAACATTACTTCTGAGAGGATTTTTCACAGAGCATTGACATAAACAGCCCTGAGCTCTTATTCCCCTACTCAGCAGAAGAAATCTGTTTCTGATCAAATCGGTTTGACATTTTCAGTATGTCTACACACCACTACAGGCTCCCATACCTTGACAGAAACCTCTAACACACCCAACAGGATACACAGTTACAATAAACCCAACATTTAGGGTGCTCCATGCACAGCAAACACATGTATACATATTGTGTTATCCTCACCAAAAACAGAAGAAAAGGGATATCCAAGTTCTCCCAAGAGAACTACATGTATCACACACATATTACTCTTCCAGAACTTCCTCCTGCTTACAGCTTCAGCGAGGTTTGTACAGCCTCTTTTTCTTTCACGAACAGCCCACATGGCTGGCATGCTGCACACGGACATTGACTGCAGTACGCTCCTATATTTAGCTCCTGGTACTGCTTTTAGAGTTCTACAACAAGATTTTCAACTGAAGATGCAAAATACACCAATATCAAAGTTTTTATTTAGGTATCTAGATGTACAGTGTCACTTTCAGTGGGGCTTAAATGCCAAAACCAATACAAATGCACTTGGCATTATCCAAATACAGACTTAAACAGCTGTTCTTACACACTGGAGATTGATTGCTTTTGCATTAAAAGGGCTAACTTCCTTGCCGTTAAATAAAAGCCATTTCAGAAAAAAGCCCTGGCTTTTTGATAATTCTCATGGTTGTTAGCACATCTACACTTTGCTGTCCTCAATTAATCTTTGTTATGTATCTGCCTATCTTTAAGCCATTAATAATTAATTGAAAACAGTGGGAGTTGGGAGAACTTAGCATGGCAGAGAATCAAGCCTTTTATGTATAAAAATTTCCTACTACTTGCCAATAGAAATTAACAATTACAGAAAACTTCAATGCTTTGCAGAGCCACCCAGGTGTATAAATCATTATGTTAACTCGTCACCTGTCTGAAACGTTTTGCCCACAAATATGTGAAGATTTATGTTTGGCATGAAACTCAGAAGTCATTAAAGATCAAAAGCAAATCAGTGCATAATGTTTTACCAGAATTTGGTTAGACTGTATGGTAGAAAACTGCACTCTTTTCTGAGCTTGCTATATATGCAAATGCTTTTTATTAACTGTTAAAATCTGTGGGCTTTCCCCCTTACCCCCTCCAAAGTTCTAAGGAAGTCAAAGCTAGGAGAGATCACAGATTTACATTTAGATTTGAAAGAAAGTCTCCAGTTCAAGCCTATGTATTACTTTGATTAGAGCATCAGAAAAACAAATACAAGCCACCACCAACAAAAGCATCTGTGGAGCATTCTGGCACGTCAGAGAGAGAAAATTGGGATTTACAACAGCAGCCTCACCTGGCTGTAAAATGTCAGATTCGGGAAATTCATCAAAGTTAGAAGTATCATCAATACTTTTGATTTCTATAGGGATTGCAGCTGGTCTTTCCCTGAAAATAGAAACAAGTGCCAGAATAGTGAATGCTAGGAAGAGACACATTAAATTCCAATTTTAACTTAGCTTTCTACAGTTACAACATGCCTTTAAAGCACAAAGGTTCCACTGAGGCCATCAGTGATGTATCTGACTTGCCTGTTTGCTGACACCATGGGGAGATTTACTTGTTTCCTATCTGGCATTTATCTTCTTGGCAAACATCATTTTCCCATTAACCGAAACAGCATTCCACACTTATCTGCCATATCACTATTGCTATGATCTTGGTTGTCACCAAGAACCACTGTGGTTCATTTCATAAACCCAGCTGAGCAGGACTTTACTTGCATTTGGAGACATCAGATGTGTTACAATTCCAGTGCTCAGCAGCAGCCTGGCCCTCATCCAAATATCTTTCAAGTGTAGTTCCTATTTCTGACACTCAGTCACCAGTATCTTTCATCCAGAATTGGTTGGCTCTTACATGTTGGGGCTTTATTAGCTCAACAATTATGGAGCCCTTTAAGAAGTCTTAAGGTGGCTTTCAAAATTGCTTAAGTGACGTGTCCCACGAAAGCATTCAGACTGGATACACGGCACTGTGGGGAAGTCATTAATTTACACCTGTGAAGTTATTACAGTTGTAATTATTACAATTACAATTAAATACACTTCTGAGTGGAACAGGGAACCCATTCCACCAGGTTGCCAAATGTAGCATGAACAGATATGTTACTGCTCTTGCTGCTTATTAATGCCTCCCACGCCGAGGAGAGAATTAAATGAGGCTTTCTGCACCAGAGAAACTGAGAAGTACAAGAGCTGTACAATCACATGGCCTCAGCACGCATTTTCATATTGAAAATTCAGTATTACTGAAAAAAAACCCCCAGACTATCTCAAACATTAAAAGAGAGCTGAACAGCAGCCATCATTTCAACTGAAAGGATCTGTGGGGTCACCAAATTCTGCTCTAAAGGTGCTACACACATTTGGGTATGTGTAGCTGTAGCTCAGCATCTGCAGGTGCACACTCAGACTGGAACTGGCACAGCTGCCTCGGCATGGCCCAGCAGAATTTGGCCACATTGGTGAGTCAGTGCCTCTGCCCAGTGCTCTGTAGACATACCGGTTGACTCAGGTGTAGTATCTGCAGCATGCAATAAAGACATGCCCTGTATTTTCCTCTCACTTGCTGCCTCTCCTCTTCATTCATCTATTTCCCCTGACTTCTGGAATAGAGTTTGCTTTTCTTGTGTTCCTATTACAAAAAAAGTTAATTATAGCAATAGCTGCAGAGCCCACTATTACAGGAAGAGGAGGTCTCTGCTGACATTAGAGCATACATCAGGAATAACACAGCCACCCTACCACAGTTTCTTTCCATCCTGGGCACTCTCGGGCAATCCGAGGCATCTCAAGGCATTTAAGCTTTGACCAGATCTATGAACGTCAGCAAGGCCTGAAAACCTTTGCTGTCACCCACCTACTGCCAGTAGCTGCCTTTCAAAATAAAAGATAAATTCAAAATAATTATCCATGACATCATAGGACATGAAATTCTTGCTCCCGTGGCTTTTATTCTGTACAAAATGTGTGAGTGTGTATCTATGCCTACCTGATATGTCCCCAGTCCACTCCCTCAAAAAACGGGTGACTTTTTATTTCTTCTACTCCATTACTACCAATTCTATTTTCTGAGTCGATACAAAACCTGAAAAAGTCAAAAAAAAATAACGGGAAAGTTACAATCAATGCAGACAGAAGCAACAGCAAATGGAACCGCTGTGACATCCTGTATCAGGAATTTGAGGGAGTTCTTTCCTATTGTTCCATCACTTCGGGTAATGTAAAAGCAGCCTGTTGCATCTAGAAGCAGAATACTGTTAGAGACCCAAAACAAAAAGCTATGATAACAGTAACTTACAACTTCCTACACTGCTGCATGCCCATCTTCAAGGTTTGTGAGAAGTTGCAGCAGTTCCAGCCCTGTAAGATTAGTTTGGAATGGAGGCTAAGTCCCTGCCACTGAAAACTCCTTCACGTGTTCTCAACTATTTAAAATCCATGTTTCCCAGTCAAACTAACAGGAACAGATACACTTACTGAAATATGACCACTCTCTAATGTCACATTTTGGAACTACAATGGGCCAGACATTCAAAACATGCCATGTCCCTGTTCTCCCTATCATCTCTTCTTCCCTTTCCTTAGAGGACCAGGTGCTGATGGTACAATAAGCCAAGGCCTATTTGCAATAGAGCCCAGCTGCATAACCTCATCTCAGACTCCAAAAGACACTGTCAATTTATGAGAAGAAGCTGTGAGAAACTCCACAGAGTCAATTAAGAAGAAAAAGGTGAAAATGAAGAGAGAGATAGGATTATTCCCTGCTTAGATAGGCAGGAGAAAAAACACCAAAGTATAAAATCTTGAAGAAATAAGATAGGAAGGTAGAAGCTCTCTGACAGCAACTCAGTGACATCAGGGATTTGTTCCAGTGACTAGCAGAGGCTGACACTTCTCCTCTGGACTGATGCCTGCCTGGACCAATGCCTCAGATGGCTGGAAAAGACTCTCATCAGAAGCATCTCAGAAAGGAGATGGTGAGCATACTAATGCTTAGCCTAGGAGTTCATTAAATCATACCTATCTTTTGTATGTGTTAGCAAAGCTAAAACTACTTTTTTTTACACTGTCCTTGCAGTCTCTTTGAGTATGGCCAAAGATGTCACCAGTGCCACAAAGAGGGAGGCTTACAATAACAGGAAAAAACGCCCATGTCAAACAAAAAGCTCGGTCTTGCCAAGTGTGGAGTCACCTGATGACCTCCTGGAAATTGGGAGTACTTGGTAGCATGGGGATGTGGGCCTCCTGTTGCTCTAAAAGTCAGCTGGCCTTTGTTAAGTGAAATCCTGTTTGCCTAGATGAGCAAAGCCTCTGGTGGTTGATTCAGTTATCCTGAACTCAGTCTTTCCACATGATCACATCACCCAGATTCACAAGGCACTTTTCACATGAACACACCGCAACGCAAAGGAGGTCACCGGCTCACTAGTTAGGGAAATTTTCAGCAGGTGATTTAGTAACATAGCACGTGAGGCTGTAACTGTCTCCAGTCTGTAATGAACGTTCTTTTACTTGTAGTTAAGTGTCACTTGGGAAAAACACTGCTTACATTTCTACTGTACCCCAGCCAGGAGGTCGATGCCAGGTATTATTAATAGATCTCAAACCTTGTAAAACAGTTAGCCAGACCAGACTGCAGGAATTGTCAGGCTCTGTCTGAGCTTGATCTTATTTTAGATTGGTTTTATCAATATCCATAAAAATAAGGAAACTTCAGCTTTGTCTGCAACTTCCTTTAAGTTGAAATATATGTTGTCTGAACTTGTCCAAGCTGTAATGAATAAAGTACCCAAAGGCCAGCTCTTTGTTACCTAACCTGCTGGTTTGACCTCATTTTAGTAAATAGTCTGTAACAAAAGCTGGCTTACCCTAATTTAAATCCTTCCATGTATGGAGAAAAGCTAACAAATTCAAGTAGTCATTGTATATGTAAGTTCATGAGCAAGAGATGTTAACAAATCTACTGCCTGAAATACCTAAAAATGCCCCAAACACAGCCAAGACTGAGGAGGAAGAAATCCTCAGCAGCAACACTGTACTCTTTCCAGCAAAGATGGGATGCTGATGACACACCGGACAGGTTAATTGGAACACTAGAGAGACAGATACTGAAAACATAATAAATCCATTACAACAAACTTATTAATGAGGATTAGTAATAACTATTTGAACTGTTAGTATCACTGTAACTGGATTAAGAATAACTATTTGTTGTATTTCCTATGTTGTACGCTGTTTGGACTAAATCTAGTTCTTGGCTCTGCCTACGAAGTGTGTTCACCTTTTTGCTTGTAACAAAATTGTGTAAGCATGTAATATTATTAGGGTGGGGGAGAAGGAAGGAATCAAAGCAAAAAACCTCCTCCCCAAAAAAAAACCTCAGAGGGCAAGAAAGCATTTTTGCCTGCCCTCGATACCAAAACCCTTTGCAGAAACTTCAGTGCAAATTGAATGGATTCAAAACCATCATTTTGGAAAAAGTGAGTAAATCAAAAACATCCAAAGATTTCTGTTCAGTGCATTAAATTGTGGTGAGTGGTTATTTTCTAGTTCCCTCTGAGAGACAAAAATCGTTTGCTAATCAGCTTCTTTTCAGTCTGCTCTGTTTCTCCTCGTACTGTGGCACAAATCAAGATCATTACAGCTTATTTCTGTATCTTAAACAAATGGCAAAGGGAAAAAAGATGACGGATGGTGACACAGAAGAAACCAACTTTCCCTCTAACCTGAAGCTTCCTTCACGTGGAATGGAAAGTTAACCTAATGGAAGATGGCTATGTCTGGGTAAGTGGCCAGAAGTGGGCTTTTGTTACTGACCTTAGAATTAAATCCTTTGCTTTTTCTGAAATGGGCACCTCTGGAGGAAATACCAGTGTTTCTTTCCAGTTCATAACTTTCCTGTAAGTCTCTTGTGGTGTTTCTGAGCAGAAAGGTGGATACCCTGTACAAACAAATGGAAACATTAACAAGCTTTTCCCAGAAGAAGAAAGTGACCTGGGCCTCTGCTTTTGCCACTAAGGTTCCCAAATCTAACAGGTAGTACAAGCCAAAAGTATTCTCTTCTGTAATGCAGCATTAAAGGTTATTTTGTTACTTCCAATAATGACTGAACTGCAAACACATTTAATAGTGAACAGTTACTCACTGAAACAGCTGAGGCACCACCTCTTGCTGTCTTCTTAGAAAGGAGGAAGGACTTCAAAGTTTTCTGGAAGCTGAATTTGGGGCTTACTTCAGGTAGAACAATGAAATTCTGGTACCTCTAGTATGCAGGGGATCAGACTCAGTGAACCCTCTACCTCTGAACCCTTTGAATGATTCTTAAGTTGGGGTCTTCTACATACCTATTAACATTTCATACATAATCACTCCCAAAGACCACCAGTCACACAGCTTGTTGTACCCAGTCTGCATAAATACTTCTGGTGCGATATAGTCTGGGGTTCCAACAGTAGAATATGCCTGGAAAGAAAGAATAAACTCTTTAGAAGATGAATACTATATTTTTACACTTTGCAAACCCTTTTCCTGGGGATTCACATATAGGAGCTTGTTATTTGGATAGACAAGAATGCCAAGAACATTCTAAATCTAAAATCCCAAGAACATTATACTTTTACATGAGTAACTAGAGAGAACCTTGAAAGTAAATGGAAATAATCCTCCTAAAAGTAATGATTTAATATTCCCACTGCAATATCAGAAGGTCATCTTAGCTGAAGCTTCAGGTAGCCACTAAAACACACACGAAGTTCTGTAGTTTTGGCTTTGAAAAAAAGAAAAAGAAAAAGAAAACAAGGAATAACCAGTGGTAGATTCCCATGTGCGACACTGGTGATAAATAGCTGTCGAATGTACTACCTTGTCTTTATTGCAGAATTCATTTGAGCTACTTCTGGACCCAGGCTCCACCCTTTTAACCTTTTAAAAGCCTGTATGATTCTGGCTAACAACTAGATCTTGAGCTATTTGGGAATTCCTCTCTACTGATCAGAAACTTTGCACAGGACGGTGGGGTAAGAAAAAACACGAAAACCAAACAAAAAAGTTTTTACTTTCATTTTCTGACAAGAAACAAAACAATTTATTAAACAGAGCCAAGACATTTAGTTTTGTACCAATGGAAAGCCAAGAATATGACTGCTTTTTAAACAATGTTGATAAAAGTTGTCATATTGGCCTTTTATTCTCTCTGTGGACTGCCTCATGATTCACCTAGCTTCACCACGTAGTTCTACCACATCAGTCTTTACTGACCTAAAGATGTAGTCTTTTCAGGGATCTAACTCCAAGCAGGAGTAAGGGCATGAAATACAGTCCCTGTGAGGCAGCATGATTGCCACTTAATCTCACTATGTCTCATGAAGCAAGAAAAAACAACCAAAAGCTTTCTGGGAATACTGCAACATATCACTTTTAAACCAGAGGGCAAAGTAAAAAGTTCCAAAATTTGAGAACTGATGTTTTTGCAACTGCTATTTGGTGAAAATCATGAGCAGGGCTGAAATTCTGAAGCCCCATGGCTGACAGATACTTTCTTTTGATTCAGTTAATGTCACAGCTTCCTTTATTACCTGACCACTCTTCATTATAAACCCAGGCTGCAGCACTCCAGCGCTAATACCCTCCACTGCCTTTGAATCACATTCCTATTCAGCAGAAGAACAAACAAATTTTCCCCACAGTTCTTTTTCAAAGAACCACAGAGCGCTGCATCTTCTTGCAACACTGAACTGCAGAGGTTCACACACAGTGCCAACACCACATCAGTCTAGAATACAAACTCAAGATACAGCTTTGCTAAGTGGTTACTGACACCTGAGGTTAATTAGTCCAGATATTAATATGGGAAACAAAGGCATAGAGAAGAGCAGGGTCTTGCTAGTCACAGCTCTGAAATCAAACAGACAAAGCAATCCTGATCCTGGAGCTACTCCACAACTGGAATCACTAGACAACCTTCTTTTGAGTTATTTGCTATTTTGGGAGCTTGAAAAGAGCAACATCTGAGGGCCTTTCAGTTTTTTAAAAACAGCAGCATTAATGCAGAGCTTTTATTTAACTTTTCCTGTAAATAGTTTAAAAGGGAAAAAAAATATACATAATTTTAATAACTCACCAGCTGTCGCCTGTTCTTCTTCCATGTTTCTGCTTTTCTCTTTGAGTTCATGTTCTGAAATGCTAATTTATAAAGTAGTTATTAGATAATAAATGCATTTGTGAGAAGTAGAAGAACATATACAAATATTCTGATTTCAAAGAATAACTGTTCTGTATCTTTAGAATGCTTTAGCCTAGAAACAAATACTCAGTCATAACTGGAGATGGGAAAATAATAACAACTACTGTCCAATTTGCAGCTGAAACTCATTCAAGTAGGATACAGTAGCAATTTTAAATTAGAACTTCCTGAAAGTTTTACACATTGATCTGGAATAAGCAGCACTTACTGTTGCAGCTGGCAATATATATTCAGATGCAGGCAATGGTATTTTTAAGCAACAAGTGAAGAATCCAAGAGCTGCAGAGGAGATCTAACATTTGCAGAATAACACACTAATGTGGCTGTGTCACCAAGGCATGTTCATGAACAACTTTCCTCTTAGGAAAAGCTTCATGAGATTGTCACTGACTTCAGTAAGTCCACACAGGAAACTCATGTCCCTTCTGAAAGAGCATCTCTCTAAGTTCCTAACATTGTTCTGAAAAATACATTATGCTACAGATACATTATGTGGTTTTGTATCTGTGTATGGATATGCAAAAGTACATCAACACTGCAGAAATTCTGATTTTTCCTGTGAAACACTTCCATGTCCGAGGGAACGTGCACTTCCAGTCTTCCAATTAAATGCAATCATCCTAACCAATCTTGCTTACTCCAGTAGATATAAGTTAAGATGTGGCATAGCTGCAGCTCGGAACTGTTTAAATGGTTAACTAGGACACCTTCTACTTACAGAAGTCACTTGGTGGGTTGTGTGTAAGGTTCCTGTAGAACTCTGTTCTGTGAGCTTTCTTTAAACCTGTGCAGAGCCCAAAATCAGACAGTTTTACATGACCCTAAAAAAATAAAAATAAAAATAAATATATATATATAGATTGATCAGAGAAGATGAAAACATAGTTTAGAAAGGTAATGCTTGAAAAGTTTTAACAACTGCACATGCCTTCTCAGGCCATGATGGACTTGCACAGGACTACCTAATCCAGGACAACTAGGCAAATAATGACTAAATCTTGGTGTATTTGAGTGTGTTTTCTGTCAAACAGGTTATTGCCCCCTGGGAACAGTTATATCTACAATTCTGCAAGAGCTGAGGGCAGCTAGTTTGCCTGGTTTTGTTCTGAGCTTGATGCCACTGAGACTACAAAAGCCTCCAGGATGGTAACCTGGCTTTAATCGGGATTCCAGACATCAGAGCTAGATAGCCTACAGACTTGTATATGATGCTTACTGGGGTCCACTTAATGGCTTGCTATAGTTAGTCTAACAGACACACTCACCTCCACTCACAAGTAGGTAATAAAACAAGTAAGATAACTGTAGGAATTGAACTGGTTATTTAACATTGTCTGAATGTTTCATGCTTTCATTCGCCTTGAAGTAACCAAGGTTATCAGTTTTTAATGTGTATGAACATAGAATCATGGAATTACTTAGGTTGGAAAAGGCTGGAATAGGTTGCCCAATGAAGTTGTGAATGCTCCAAGCCTGGCGGTGTTCAAGGCCAGGTTGGACAGAGCCTTGGGCGACATAGTTTAGTGTGCGGTGTCCCTGCTCATGGCAGGGGGCTTGGGACTAGATGATCTTAAGGTCCTTTCCAACCCTAACTGTTCTATGATTCTATTCTTTGATTCTATCTTTAATATCGAGTCCAGCTGTCAACCTAGCACTGCCAAGAGCTCCACTAAACCATGTCCCTAAGAATATGAGCATTTGGGCATCTTAAGTGGGTCTTCTCACTTAAAAGACTTGCCTTAAAAGGGTTAAAAGGCTTTTCAATTAAAATCAAGGGTTGTTTTACTTCAAGCATCATGGTCTTGTACAAGGAAAAGACAGAGACCGCTTTCTGGTGTGGCACTACTGGTTCCCACTGATTAGCACCACTATAAATGGCATTATCTGTGGACTGAATGTATAAAGCATAGGCAGTTTACATGCACATTACATGCCTTAGCATCCAGCAGAAGGTTATCTGGTTTAATATCTCTGTGGATGAATCCCAGCTGGTGAATAGCATCTATGGCCAATACAGTTTCAGAAATGTAAAACTGTGTCTCCTCTTCTGATAAAGTGTCTTTCTTCATTAGTAAGGTCATCATGTCACCTAATCAAAGAGAAGAAAATAGAGCTTAGAAATCAGAACATTTTAATCACAAGACTAATTCCACATAAAATCCCAGTAGAATGTAAATTTAACCTTGCAACTGGCCTTACAGCTACTTATTATAAAGCTATTATTGCAAGGACCTACATACCCAACATACTTTTTTAGTAAACTGGATGTAAACCTGTTGAAAATCCTGAATAGGAATAGCCCAGGAAGTGAACTTTAACACATAATGCATATATTGTACAAATAAACTGTTTAAACAAGAGCTTTTATTGTTGCTTTTACTGTTAATAGCTTCAGCAGTAAAAAGCAGAACACTGGATTAGAGTAATTATTTAATCCAAGTCTATTTTAATGTCCCTTCATAACTTTTCTCCTTCCCCTAAAAATCAGGAGTGGTTGCATCACTGGGACTTGATTCAAAACAGCATTAAAATTTCTACCATCACAAATTTTACAGCATGTTTGTTTGTAAAATTTACAAAGCTGACACCAAGAGCAAAGGAAGAAGTACTTGTGATTACTTAACGCCACAACATACAGCTTACCTCCAGGCAAGAACTCCATGATCAGGTAAAGATTTCTTTTATCCTGAAAGCTGTAGAACATTTTCACTACCCAGGCTCCATCCGCTTCAACCAAAATATCTCTTTCTGCTCGGATATGGGCCACCTAAAATTTAAAAGAAAAAACAAACTATTATTAAAGGACAACTCAAATATTTCAATGAGAAACACCATATTATTGCCTAGTCTTAAAATCTGTTTTCATGATCTTTAGGAAAGAAACTATTTTTCATGCTTTCTTCATAGTTTTTTACTAGATCCTACAAATTTTTGGGAGCCAAAATACCCACCAGAAACCCACATAAGTCAACTCAATGTTGAAAAAACCGTGTTCACACAACTTTGCAGAACACAAAGCATAGCTTCATAGCTTGTTAAGCTGGTTTTCTTTGTTTGGAAAGAACTGACAAAGCTGGTGAAAAAGTGCAATTCCCTTTTTTATTATACCTAAAATGAAACAGAAATATTAAATAAAAAAGTCAGAGCTGACCATCACAGAGCTTTATATGACACATGGTCGTGTCCCTGATGCAAGCTTAGACAAAAATACCATGTGCAAATACTGACAAAATTATTAGAAAAGGCCAGAGCTGGTTTTAAAGAATTCAAGAACCAAGAGGTAAATGGTAAATGCACAGGTCACCAGATTTCCCATACATGTATACAAAGAAACAAAGAGCTAATAGCTACTTCTAAACCAATATCTCAGTTTAAACTTGGCAAGATAAGGCTGGGGAATCTTCTCTAGGAAGAGTGACAGTGTCTAAACTAATTACTTCCTGTAAAACCCAATTCCTTCATCACTGTGAAGAAAGAAACGCCTGACTTACACTGAACTACTGTCTAGTTCCCAAGTCACCATTGTACACACCGATGATGGTGCATCTACCCCTTCCAGATGGTACACAGGGACTGCTCCTATGCACATGCTCCTTTTGCATAGCAAACCTTACTTAAACTGCATGGCAAGTGACTTGGCCTAGTGGGAAAAGGGCTGGGATGAGTTTCAGCCCCCAGATGATGGTGGGTAGCAATGAGCACAGTGGCCAATATTGAAGCAGTGCAAAAATGGTAAAGGTCTTGGGCTGTGTAAGCAGGAGGAAGTGAAAAAGAGATGGAGCCATTCCTCCAAGTGATGTGCATGACGCTAGCCCAGAACTGATATAGCCACCACTGCTGTTGATGGGCAAGTGAGTTTCAGAACATCTGATGTGACTCAGGCTATTCCAGCCCAGCTGAAGCCTTGGGGGAAAAAACCCTCAAACAGAGATAGCTGTTACCCCATGAATTCAATGGGAACTAATAATTGAGACTGGAAGAGGATGGTGTGTTTCACTAGAACGTACCCTCATACTTAAGAAAATGAAAGACGTGCACGGAAAAATATTTCTTAACAGCTTTAAGATGTTCATTATTCATACACCAGAAAACAACTTCTGAAGAGAAAACATGCACTACTATTCCAGCTTCAAGGGCAGTCTCCTGCCTCTCTTCCCCAATTCTACTGGCCAGAAGCATGTTTACATGTACATGTTCTTTTCACAGGGTTTCACAGGGCACTGGGTTCTCTCTCTGTAGTAGGCACTCCAACTGTGACTCATCTAGCTCTATTTATTCTCATCAGAAAATATTTCTTTCCACCCTCCACTCTTCAACATGGCTATAAAACACAATATTAAAACCTTGCTTAAAAACCAGCCAGGATATTCCCAGTGCTATCTGGCTTGAAAAAAGATAACAAAAAAATATCTTCATTTTCTTGTATGTGTGTCCTGCCTTGCTTTCCACTGAACAAACCAGGCAATGAAAATTACAGCAGAAAAACACTTTCCAGGGAAGATTTTCATCCCAAATGGGATGGCGAGTGTGAGCTCAGCCTCATTGCCACATCAGGTTACAAAATGGGGGCAGGGCTTTGACCTGAGGGCCACATTTATCCTGGCTGCTGTGCAGAACATGCTGTTCCTCTAGTCCCCTGTATTCAGGGCATGGGCTTGAGGAGACCAAAAGTCTGTGCCAGGATAAAAAAGAAAGTAGAAATATCACTGCTGGGAAATGTAATGCAAGAGCAAATGATGGGTAAGGTTTGGACTTAGGTTTGATAAGGAAAAGTCCTCTCTTATCTGCCCTTTTGCTTGAGACATCTGCACTTGATTTCCTTGCTTTGTGGTGCCGAAGTACTTGCCATGTCCTACCAGGAATTTGCAGTGTATTGTTAACTAAAAAGTAAAAGCAAAAAAACCAAACCAAACTAACAAAAACAAAGCAAAATAACACAAGACCCAGCTAAAAAGGAAAACAAAGGAAAACAAAGCCATTGAACAGTGGGATATCTGTTGTTATCTAACTATCAAAAGAAAATGTCAAATACTCTCAGTTTACACTTTGGCACAATATTACTTTTCAAGAAGCATTTCCCTTGAAATGCAATTTTACATATTACGTACTATAAGGTCTGTGTTGATAAAGGAAGGAAAACAAAACCAAAACCCAACCCGACTTTGTCTCTATTCAAAACTGATTGTAAATAAAACATTTTTTAAAATGTTCTTACATGACCTTATTTCCTAACTTCTGCTTATTCATTTGTACTGTGCTAGCAGCTCCACAGGTGCTTTGGGCTGCTATACCATTATTGGGGCTTTCAGAGTGGAAAATATGACCAAATAGTATCTGCCACAAAGAACTTCAGCAATTTTCTAGAGAGCATAAGTTCGAAACCTAGGGGACTTATACAACACAAACCTGCTCTTTCTCCAGCATATCTGCTTTTCTTAGTATCTTCATTGCATAAATATGACCTGTATCCTTCTTTTGAACGAGGCGTACCTGTAACGAGAAATACAACCCACTCAATCTTCTCTACATCAAAATTAGACCCCAGTGTGGAATCTACTGGAAGGCTTGACATTGCCAGGCATAGAAAAGTTCTTCTGTTAAACATTTAAAAAAACAGGGAAAAAAGAAATATTTCTACACCACACATACTAGTGATGAGCAGACAATTTGAAGTAACTATTGTTTTAGGAAAACTCAGCAGGCACAGTAAACTCCAGGTAGCTGTGAGATTATGCACACTAAAATTCAGGAGCAGATACAAATGTGATGTGACACATGGCAGGGAGACTGGTTATGAAGGGGAGCTGTGCAACAGCAAGTCCATCAATTCTTGGGGCCACAGGGGCAATATCAGTTTGAGAAGTTGCAGGAAACCTCCTAGGGCCTTTCCAGGGGCCTTGAGAAATTGATGCACGTAATTCATTACTTGACTTACCACACTTGCACAATTATTTAAATAGCTGTTCTGCAATAAAACTCCCCGAGTGGAACTTTTAATTCTGTAATTAAAATGTTTCATTTTAATGTTCAATCCAGTCTTAATATCCTGTTCAAGCAAGAATGCCACAAACCTCCCCAAATGCTCCTCTTCCTATAACTTTCAAAGATTCAAAGTCATCCAAGCCAAGTCTAGTCCTCTTCAGTCGCAGAAACTCTGTTTCTTTGCGAGCGTGTTGCGACCTGCGCAGTTTTTTCTAAGGAGACACATAGACAGAAGTTTGTAAGTCATTTGACAGCAGAAAATCAAGATATACACTGTCCCTTCCTGTGCAATATTTCTCTGTCATCCTAATGGAAGAGAGAAATGTAAAAAGGAGAAATCTTTTTGAATTTCTAAAGGTATGATCCACAAGCACAGTCTTCAATACAGAGGCCCAGGTTCACTTTTCGGGGGGGTGTCGTTTTATTATTTTTAATACTTAGACGTAAATAAATGGTCATAAAAAATAATGAATTAAAAAAAATAATCACACTGGTTCGAAGTCCACCAGTCCAAAGGCCAAAGTCAGAAGCTGAGGCAAGGACTCTTGGTTTTGGGCATCTGAAGGATCAATAAAAGCTGAAACTTGCACCCCACCAAAAAGAAGGGGTGCAAAAAAAACAGGCAACAAGAAGCCTGGCAGGCAGTAGAGATCCATTTGGTTTACTGCAGGCAAACACTCGTATTTGAAAGAAAAACCTGTCCAAATCCTGTCATATATTTTGTTCTATAAAAATGTCAATGAGTTTCAGCCTGAGATAAGATGAACCCCGACCAATGCTCCCAAAGATGCCAAGAGTGTCTCAGACCGTTAATGAGATCCATCGATCGGGCACCTACCTGCCAGATTTTGCACTAGGGTGACAGCATCGTTTAAAACCACAAGATGGCATTGCACACTCACGCTCGCCCTTCCGTCTTCCCAGAAGTGAGGGCAGCCGGACAAACTCAGAAATAACTGAGGCACTGTTCCTGCTTATTTCCCTGACAACCCCTGAAGGCAGTACAGACACCCGTGGTTTGATGGGCCTCAGAAGAGCAACTTATTGACCAAAGTTCTGAGAGATGCCAACCAGACAGAGAACCCTCCTTATCCGTATCCAAATGGAGCAAGGGTTTACCCAGTTTATTGCTTAAACGAACTAAAAATGGTTCAGCATTTTGCATTCTATCCACTTCTAAGCACATCTCATCTTTTTTTCTTTCCAAATAGAATGGCAAACAAATTTAATCTTTGAAAAGTATGCTATATACTTGATGTGGCCACATGTCTCATAAGGACTAAAGGTGGCATAAAAAGCCTTAGCTATTGCAAGTATCATTCAAGTGTATTCACAGCTTCCCTAATAAGTAATTATTTACAGGGGCAACATTCATTTACAAAATAAAACTCACTGTCATGCTAGCTAATGTTTCTGTAAGCTCCTCAAATGCCAATTTGAAGTAGGGCAACAAAAGCAAAGTGGTCTCTTCAAAGGTTACTTAAGTAGTATTTACCTCCTCATCTGCGAGGCCTTCCTCTTCCATAGCCACTTCTAGCTTCTTCTGCCTGCAAAGAGGAAAAACAGAGATTGCTTTTTTAAATATTTATGAAAAACAAATGGAACACTACAGCAAGACAACTCCTTTACTTCACATATTCCAGATACCAAAGAATTTGCCTCAAATGGAAAATTGAAGACTTACTGCCCTCTCCACCCATTTACTCATTTGTGATCAAAGCTGTTGAAAACGCAAATTCAAGTACTTAGGTATTTCCACAATTAGGCATTAAAGGTCCAAACATGTAATCACTCTACTGATTTGTATTCATACAACCTTGTTGAAACAAAGCTGGTTTTACCAATATCTGATAATAAATCAGAATAAACACTTTTTTTCCCCCCACCATTTCTATATTGGCTCTACCTCCAACACCCCAGCCAGCTCCAGCATTCACCCCCCAGCCTTGCTGACCTCTCCCTGGTCACATGCCCGATCCTGTTCCCCTTCCTCCTGGGCCAACCGACTCTACCTCCCTGGGTTCCTCATCATCACCTCCTCCCAGTGTCCTGCCCAGGCCAGGTCTCACGGGCCCTGGGGCTAGTCCAGCTGGTGCCATGCCAGGCTGGGAGGATCGAAGTGGCAAGTGAAGCCTGTGGGTTACCCTACGGATGGCAGGGGGTCAGCATGTGGCAATAAACAATCATAGAATGTTTGGTCTAGAAGTGACATTAAAGCTCATCTAATTCCAACCCCCCTGCCATGGGCAGGGACACCTTCCACTAGACCAGGTTGCTCAAAGCCCTGCCCAGCCTGGCCTTTAACACTGCCAGGGATGGGGCAGCCACAGCTTCTCTGGGCAGCCTGTGCCAGGGCCTCAGCACCCTCACATGTCAACTGGACCCCTCTTTTTCTACCCACGAGACACTTCTTTATGACTGTCAGGGTGCAGGTTTCAGAAAGCTTGCTACCCACTAGCACAAGCCAAAAGCTTGAAGGCTCGGTGCCAGGCTGCTGGTGTCTTTCTGCACTTTGGGAAGTACAGCAGGATCCCCCAAATTAAAGGCCCTCAGCAGACACTCTATTCTCCTAACTAGAAGCTACTCAATTATGTGGGATAATGACTAAATATGATGAAGAGAGAAACCCTGCTGCTCAGCTGAAAACCCCTCAATTAAAAACATATTACCAGGGGAATGATAATTTCACATGCTGATGACAATTTGAAATACAACATTCATTATAATCAAATACTGGTGCGTTGACACTTAATTCAAGTAGCACTTCACCACATCAGAGGCAGAATTGGGCACAGATGAGAAAAATTAAAGTGGAGATGACCAACACACTCCCACAGAGTACCAGCCAACACCACCCAAGAACAATTTAGAGGTGGGAACCGCATTATCCCCAGAATTCTTCCTGCCTACAAAGAGCCTCTCAAAGCCTCCATCACCAATCCTATGCTCTTTACTGCCCCTTATTTCCATCCCTGGCCACCCCCAGCTCCCTGCCTCCCTTCATTACCCCACATCACTCCTGTCAGTCCTTTTCCCCCTCTCCTGTAACACGTCCTTCTGCAGAGTTTATGAGTCTTGGCATGAGCTCCATGCTGCAGAGCATGAATAGACACCACAAACCCAGGTTACCACCCATCAGCAGCTCTGCATCATCTACCTCTGCAGAGTTTATTCCCGGTAGCATGTGCAGAGGAATTGGAGATCACCAACCTCACATGCTGAGGTAGAAACCTCACATGTGCTGCAAAATAAGACCCTGCACAGAGCAGTTTCCACAAGGTAGTAATAAACTGATGAGGAGGTAAATTGTATGAAACATCAAAAGTGGAGGTCCTTTGTCACTCAGTGACTGTTTGTTACACTAGGAGGGGATGTTCACAGGTCTACCGGCACAGCCAGCAGCTGAAAGGTAGCCTGTGCCCTTCAGGGATCAGCTCACTGCTACCAAGTAGAGAAAAAAAATCTTACAAGAATAGGGAAAAAAAACTTAAAGAAACACCATGAAAAGCTAACCAAGAAAAGCTGAAAGGGATGAGAGGAAGCAGAGCCAGTACCTGGTTTCTCTCTCTTCGTGCTGTATAATTAGGTTGCTGTAGAAGTTCTCCAGCGTAAGTTTGGCCACCGTCACCCTCTCCCGGGTGTGGTTACTCATGGGAAAGGATGTTGTAGTCCCTGCAGTCATTGCCATGGTAACATGTACTGAAACAGAGCATGTCACATCATTACTCACTTGGAAAAAATAATACAAAAATTATACATACACATGTATATATTCCTCTTTCCCATTCTCCGTCGCCAATTTCTTAGACACTATAGAATTCACAGGAAAGGCACTGTTCTTTACATAGAAGAAACTCCATTAAAAAATCCTGTGTTATAAAATTATCCCAAGATAGCGGGAGGACCTATTACCCACTCTCTAAAAAAAAAAAAACCCAAACCAGCACATTGGCAAAACAAAGGGTGAATCATAGCAAAGAATTATGCAGGCTACAGGCCTTGTCCCTGAATGAGGAAAATGTACCTCCAGCAGACTTGAGCCCAGCCTGCATGAGAGAAGAGGTGGCAAAGAATGGAAAGGAAAAGGGGGAAGCCAGAGGAGGACCAGGCACCTCCCACAGCTGGACACATCACAACTCTATGACAATTTCAGACTCCAGAAATTCTAGGAAAAGGACAGGATAAAATGGAATAGTAAATGGAGAAAATCCCTAATCCTATCCAGAGAAGAAGCTATTTCAAGATAGAAGAAAGCCATCAGCTATCTTTGAATCTTAAAGCCGCGCAACAAAATTACACTGGGACAAATGGGGGGACTTCTAGAAATCATTGCATGGAAATGAAATAATGGAACTACCATATTTTGAATGGAAAACTGCTGCTGCTGGGGGTTTTTTGCCTGTTTTTTTAAAGCAACAACCAACCACCAAGAATAGAAAACCCTTCCCTACCACAAGGCCATTAGGCAACCAGTCTTTCTGTTTGTTTCATTTCCAACCATCTCTGTACCATGGCTGCCGATGAAACGAGCATGTTCTGAAGTAGCTGTTCATTACAGAGCTGCCTGTGTTTGGATTCACAAATTCGGGGGGAAATAATCTTATGCAGCTGTAAATAAGTTACACTTATAAATAAAGTACGTATAGGTCAGGTCATGTGGTCACTGCGCACTTAAAAACTGGGAAGGAACAGGACAGAAGAAGGGCTGTTCTCTTCAATAGCTTTCATCTTGAAGAACTTGGACATACCACAACAATGCTTTTAATGCTGGAAAAAGACATCTTGGGGCAGTCCTGAGTCCCTTGCAGCTGGTGCAGGGAAGCCAGGGGGGATGTAAAAAGCAGCACAATTTGTCCTGGGACTCATGCCCTACCTGGAAGTGGGTTGAGGCACTTTAAAAGAGCCTCACGAAGAGCCATTAATAGCAGCACCTCAGCCCCACGCTCGTTTGATCAGGTTGTTTTGGGGTTGGTTTTGGAAAATTCCACAGAAGTACATACACTTCCTTTTGACTATTTACGTAATCCCCTTCTATTTCACCAGGGGATTTTAAGGAAGACAAACCCTAAATTAGGCTTATGATCTTCAAGCAGATTCTAATACCTTTTAAGGTTAACCGATTAAAAGTTTCATATGGAAGAAAACTTGCATGTCCACATCAGGATGGGGAGATTGCTTAATTCTGCCTGGGTTTTTTTGGTTTTGGATTTGACTGCTCCCCTCTGTGAGGTCAGGATTTGCTCTCATGGATTTTTAATTGCATTTGGTGCAACAATAAGATATTTGTTGCCAGAAACGCAGCTGCTGTGTCACAAATAAAGGGGGTTTATAGCATTATGTAGATATTATTTTAGCTGTGTATTTTGGAGTGTGCAAGACGGTGGAGTTCCAAGAATAAAAATTTAGCTGTCTACACTCATACGAAGAGGTTTTAATAGCACTACAGCTGCTTCAAGATGATGTCAATATTTCTATTTTTTAATCACTTTTATCCCCTTCAGTTTTCTACTGCAGAAAGATGAGAGCTGTCACCTCTCAATAGTCTTTACTAAAAATTAAGGGGTTCTACTCTTCACACATGTACTCCATATTGGACACCTCTCCAAAAGCTGGAGAACTTACCACTGCTCTCCCTACTGAGCCTGTTGTACAATATTATACTCTCTTTCTCCCTTGACAGGTGGGAAAAGAAATATAAAACAGGTATCTGAGTGGAAAAACCTACAGCATGTTGACACACCCAAATCAAACAGAGCAACTGCTGACCACACACTGGCATCTGTGATCAAGTTATTGCAAGAAATGACCTAATAGAGTAAACCCCCCATCTTCTGGTCATTTTGGAGTGTCAGGATAGCACAGCATTAACCCAGGCTTGAAATGGATTAACCTTTACTTAAGGTATAATGAGGGCACTTCTAGCACTGGCAAGCAACAGGATATTTATCCTTTGCATAACTTGTATTCCTGGTAGGATAAAATAACCCTGCAATTCTATTCCATGTTAATTTGTTTTCCCTATGCTCCTATACTCACAAATGCATACGTTACCAAATAGCACATCTAAGTTACTTGATTTTATTAAGCCTGTAAAAAAGAGATAACAATTCTGGCACTAGCACACCATGCTATAAATAGCAGAGCTGTCCCTCACTGTAGTTCTACAGTAGAAAAACATAGACAAGAAGCCAATCCATAAACTAGCAAACTCAGAGAAAACTATTTACCAGAGAAGAAACTTGTATAGACTTCACCATCATACCACAGCATAAACCACTATCCCCTCCACTAAATTAGGAGGGATACATTACCAGAAGCATTTGCTTGCCACATAGAACCATAGAATGGTTTGGCTTGGAAGGGACCTTAAAGCACCCCATATATCCTATGCACACCCTGCCAGCCCTGCCTTCAGACCCCATTGTACCACAGCACAATTCTTCAGGCAGAATTTACTTTACATTTGTTCAGTTTGCAATTGGTGTCTCCAGTTACCTCTGTCATGATGGGGGTGGAACCAAAAGAAAACACACACACACACACACACACATACCCCGCAACAAAACAACAACAAAACCCTTTGCAACTCCAAGAGTGGCCTAAGCTCTAAGGTTCCCCAAAGTAGAAAAGAGCACAAACCTGGCAGGAGACACAAAATACCCTGCAAAATCCTGTGTCAACTCACAGCAGAGAAAAACACTCCATCCTTTTTCGTCTGGCCTCTCTGCTTCCACTAACAAACTCCAAACCAAAGTACAAATCTGCATCCCAAACAAAATATTCAGTTGGGAATTGCAAACTGAAGTCCTTAAGCATGGCCTTTATGAACAAATGATGCTGGAAGGGATGGGGGTGGGAAGGAAGAAGCTTCAAAATGGGGCCTTTTATTGACAGCACACTACTACTGACCTCACCACATTAACAGGAATGTTTTGAAAAGGTGCCACCCATAGTTCTTGGAAACGCCCTCAAAAACCTACTAATTCACTCAAATTCATTCCCTTTGCATAATGGAACCATTCCACTCCTGCTGCATCACCAGCCTTGCATTAGGCTCCCTGGACCATGAAGAAGGTCATATTAAACTAGCCAGCCACATTTGGCGAAAACTCTGGCTGATGAGGATCGAAGGCGTTTCTTTCCAAAGGGCCTGTTACTTTGGAACAAAAATGATACACCACCGGCTGTGTGTGAGAGAGAAAGAGAGAGAGACGTCAAACCCAAGTAATGGACAGGAGACACTGAGCAGCGCACAGCCTGCAGGACAGTGTGTCAGAGCTGCCAGAAGCACAGAGGCCATATGTGCTGCTTGGCCCAGAAGCCGAGGCTGTGCCTCCTGGACGGATGGCTGACCTCACAGCGGGAGGGAGCCCTTCTCCTGGTGCCTGCTCAACTCAGCAGCAAGCACCTAGGGCATGTGGATGAGGAGCTACAGATGTGCAGCAGCTGGGGAACATCTTGTCCCCAGAGGCAGGTGGAACAGCAGCAGAGCAGGAAGGAGCTGAAGGATGTTCCTGAAGTACAAGGGAGACCAGGGGACAGGCACAGAAAGGGGACAGCAGGCCCAGTGCTAACACACTGGAGTTTTTGAGTGTCCTCTAAGCAAGTCTCTCCTGACTCCTCATAGAATAGGATGTTTCAGTTGGAAGGGACCTCTCCCTCCGGGTAGAACAATGCTGCCTGGTCAAAGCATACACCAATTTTTTGACTCCCAGATCTTCCCTGATTGGGAATCAGGGAAAGGCCAAGCAGTGGCCTACAGTTCACTACAACTTCAGTTTGCATTCCTACCAGCTCTAAGTTAAACTGTCAAGTGATTTCCCTGAAACAGTTTCCACCACTGAAAACCCCACACCAAAACCCAAAATCACCCCCAAAGGCAGGTAAGTTCATCATTTCAGATCCTTCTAACATATTCTTCCAACCTTTCACTTTTACACTTTTAATGATTTCTCACTTCAGTGAGAATATAAATACGTGCAAGTATGCTACAGTGAAAACTGAAACCAGTCTTTCCAGATGTCTTCCTTATTAGAGGGTCTCACATTTCTCAGGATACTACAGTAACCTATTAGATTGATTCTTGCTTTCTCTCACAAAGATTGCCTGCAAAAGAACAAGTCTGTGCCAGTTAGACAGTGCTGGGTGTTGTGACTGGGCTTCATTTCTGCAAGAAGGGGTCTGAAGGTGCTAGTCTCTTTACAGGCAAGTTTCCTGCACAACTGTGTTATATCATATAGATTGTTCTTACTACTGAATAAAGCTGCACCTATACTATCAAATTAATCTGGACTTAAGTCACACAACAGGAATATTCTTATTTTTGAAACTATGTGTATAGCATAATTATACAGTAGCCCTAACATAATTTTACTCTGGACTCAATACTTAGTGCATATTTAAGTTAGGGAGCAAACACCAATACAATTCTCTTGGAGAGAAAAGCATGTTTTTTTATCGCATGAAGAATGACATTATCATGCTGCTGGGTCTCTGACTTGGATTTAAAATGTAAAGCTACAAACATCAGCAGGACAGGGAACACCAATCCTTCCTCCCAAAACAGCTACATCACAGAAAGGTTGATAATAATTTAGTTACCCAAGCACACCCCTAGAGCCCAGCATTCAGGAAGGCAGTAGAAAGGGTAAAACTGCAAAGTTTAGAACGATTCCATTTACAATCCAAGGGAATTGGCTCTTGAATGAAAGCCTCTGGGTAAGGCAGATACTGAGACATATTTTTGCCTTTCAAAGTTCCCATTTTCTCAGTATGACACATTTTGGCATTCAACTTACTCCCAAAATGAAGTACACAAATGGCATTTTTCAAGCATTAGAAGGTAAAAAAGAAAGGAGAGGGTTTCAGTGCCAGACCTGTTCCAAAGTAAACAAATACAGCTCAATAAAGCGAGTACCTTCAGAAACGCCAGTTCTCACCACCGTGCGTAGTGCTGGAGTTCTCCTGGATGAGAAGCTAGAGTGGACTTAATAATGCTGCTTGGCTCCTTACAGACAGGGTAGCAAAGCAACTCACTGAACAGGCACTAAAAACCACCGCTGGCAAGGACTGTATTTGAAAAATTAAGTCCTGTCTAGGAAAACAGCATGGGCACAGCAAAGCTTCAAGTAAGAGCCAGCCCTGCTCTCTCCAAATTGTTTGGGTTCTCTTTCAGAGAGGGGAGATATATATATGAGAAAAAAAACAAACCAACCCACCATACACAAATAACAGCATGATTCACACGAAAAGGCAGTGGGCAGGGACAGATAAATGAAATAAGCAACCAAAGGCTCAGCGGGATGAGGTGGTGTGACATACCAGCAAGAGTAAGGGGAGGAGCAGCAGCTGGAGCAGCAGCCGCCCAGGCACTCCAAGCGACTTCTACATGCAACTGTATGTGGTATGAGCTGACATGCAAACAGAAAGCAAAGATAAAAATGCTGTACAACAGCTGATAGTTCCAGTGATGGAACAGAAGGAGAAAGTGGTCATAATGTGGTATCAGCTGGAAGGAAAATGACTTTCTGCACTACAGTTTCTGCTAGCACAAATTTGGCAACTGTGCTGTGCATATTTTCACTGTCCAATTGTTTATACCAAACCTTCTCCTGGAGAGGGTCTCTGCCTTCTTTTTCTATAACCCACTTTAAATCCACTTTCAAAGCTTTTGAGAAAGCTCCAGAGACAAACAAAACACTACAGGATCCTGAAGCCTCCAAGCAGCAGGCAAACAACAAAACCCCACTACTCCAAGCTATGTCAATTATGGGCCAGTATTTTTCAACCTTTGGAGCTTGATCTTAATACTTTTGCTATTACTAAATATAGCTTTCCATGTTCAGAACAAAACTTTGCCCAAAGCTCACTTATGTTAGTAAAAAAACCCCTTCAGCTCAATAGGTTTTGACCTAATAGTCCTATTCGGGCATCTGGATGATGCTATTTGTGCTACTGCTGTTACTGAAGTTCCTAGTTATCAGATCAGCAGTTTGCCAAGCACTGCTTTGGGGTATGTTTCAGAAAGAAAAATAAATATTATGATCCTACATAATTCATGTTTTCAGTAGTATCACCATTCACAAGCCCCTATTTTATTTAATACGTTACCTGAAAGAAGCAACATTCTATACCAAATAAAACAAATCAGATTACTTCGCATGCAGATTTTTCTTCTTTTCAATGTTAAACTGCTGAGACTAGATCTTTCTGAGATCCTCCACTTTTTGCAGCAGCCCCCACCTGAGAAGGGAAAACGAAGCAACAAGGCTGCAACAAAATGGCACTAACACTTCGGCTTTCATTTACCTCATTTAAATACTTCATTTCCTTTAGCTTGTTACTCATTCACCAATGCGCATTATGTTCTAGTAAGTTTTGCTCCTTTAAAGTTACAGCATGCATTATATTTGTTCTATTTAAAGCAGCGCTAAACCTGAGTAAAATTAGCTCTGTTGGAATAGGCCTTGCTATTTAAAAGCAAAAGATGTTCAAATGTTTTAGCCATTTTAAGTCATTCTTGCTTTCCCCATGGAGCATCTGGGTGAGTCGCCTGTTACAGTCACAGCTAAAAGCAGAGAGCAGCACTCCATGACTCGCCCAGCCCCAGCTCATAATCCAAAAGTGGTGGACGCTCCCAGTGCCTGATCCCCATGACCGTGAGAAAACCCTGAGGGGACATTCACCGACCCACAGGACTTGGGATGGAGATGCTGCATGGGTCCTGCAGCCCCAGCGGCTGCTGCGCTTCTAGCACTGATGACACCAGGGAAACCTGGGGGACAGCGAAGCCCAGAGAACAACTTAGGGTGTCAGTAATTGGCTCCAACATGTCCCCCAAACTCCAAGAGAGCTTTTCACCCAATGCACCCAAGTGAAAAATGCTTTCAAAATTAAGGAAGTTACTTTCCTACCTTGGGGTAGACTCCTAAACCTGTAAATACCCTAAAATGTCAAGGACGGGCACTAGGCAAAAATGCCCCCTGAAACCACCAAGGTCCCTTCCCCCAGCAAAGGCCACAGTTGCATGCACACTGTAACTTGGCATTAGCCAGTACTGTTTCTGAAAGAACCTGTCCCACTTTCCGTCCAACCATCTGTTTGTTTCTCTCCCGCTGCCGCTCAATGCTTTGTGCCAGCACAAGAAGCTGCGTAACCCAGATGGAGGAACCGCACCAGGCTGAAATGATTTCTTCTAAAACAGTTTTGGTGAGGCTGGTTTTACCCGCATCGACTGAAAAGGGCCACACTTCCCCAGGCTGAGCCTGCTCATTCCTTCCCATGGAGTTTGTCCAGAAGCGAGAAGCAGGCGACAGGGCCTCGTCTTCTAATTTGGCTCACAGAAATGAATCTCACAAATCATTCCGACACACCCACAGTAATGATAAGGAAATATTTCCTAATATGGAATAAAACCTGAATATTGGAGTTGTGCTGCACTCCAGGATTTCCTGCTATTCAATGAAGCTGAGCACCAGAAGCCTCCCATGAACAGTGGCCCTGATTCAGTTCTCTGCTACTTTGAACGAGCAGAGGGCACAGCTGCCAAACACAAATTCATTTCCCTGACAGGAAAAAATTAAAGATGAAACTATGTATGTACAAAAATATATATGTATACGGGTGTGTATATATAAACTACATATACCTACACCTAGATAAAATATATGCACTGTTTTCTTCCATTTAGAGTTAATCTTTCGTCCACATCAAGTTACAAAACAACTTTTGATCCAAACATCGTAACCTTTGCTTTCACTAACAATGGGAGACTGGTCACCCAAAGTTTAGAAACACAAATCCACTAAAAAGGTCACTTCCATCTCAGCTCCACTTGCCTCAACCTTTGGCAATACAATTCTATTCTTTATGTTCTACTATCAATAGCTCTGTCCCAAAGTTAAGGGTACATTTTGAGACATCCTGTACTTAGAACACTCACTCAGCAATGAATGACTTGCAATGACATACTGAAATCTTCATAAGCTCAGTCCTTTCAAATAACTCATGTTATTTTCTTTATAGAGGGTTTTTAAAGACAATCTAACCATTTGGGTTTTAGCAGTACCACTCAAATTGCTTTACTGTGCATGCATGTGTGGCTGCAAGATAGGACTCCCCCACCCACCGCATGAGCCTCATTTAGGGAGAGAATTGAAAATAGAGGCTGCACTTCTGCTCCACCAGCAAGGACAGAGGGCTAATGCTAGGAACAGGAAGGGCATAGAGATGCTGGTGTATCCACAGTGCTCCAAATGGGAGGTCAGCTCAGGACAACATCCTGTATGACTAAATGAAGCACACAACACGGTAAGGGAACTAGACTTGCAGTGCCATGTGGCCATCCCTCTCTTCCAGGGTGTACCACGTTATCTGAATCGATGCATTTCAATTTACTGGCAACAAAAGAAACCAGTAGCTTGCTGAAAAACTAACAATGGCATTTCTTAGCTTGCTTTAGCTCACTTGCATCTTCCCTTTCTCCTGGCTCTCCCCAAGCTTCACAGTGCTGCAAATCTTTGTCCTCTTAGAAGTGTCTAAAAACAGGAAGCTCTTCTATCTACTGAAGTAATTGCATTCCTGTGCACTTAAGCATTTTCTCAGCTTTTAGAAGGTACTTGCATCCAGGCATATTCAAGAAAGCTTTGTTCTAAGATCTGCTAATATAACTGGCAAAAAAAAAAGCACCCATGCTAAATATTCTGCTGCTGTGTTTTGGATCATGAAATGATTACGAACGGAGCAAGGTCAACGACCAAAAAAATCTGCTTCCTCCCCAGTTATTGTTTTTCTGGACAAAATTATACTGAGGTATGTCCCACTCCAAAACATGTACAGCCATCTGAAAATAAAATTCAGCCACAGTGCATTTCTCTACATCTGGCTCTTCCATGGAAAAGAGACACAACTTAGGACAAAAGTAAAGAATACAAGAAAGAGCTTTTAACCTGGAACCTTAATAAAGTTTCCTTGAAATCGTAATACATTTTCAGCTTTGATCAAAGAAGCTCTGCTCTTTAATTTTAGGCATGCTATGAAGCCTTTCTATTTTCTAAGGAGCCTAGGGAAGCAGGAACAGAGGGAGGATTCGGTTTTGGGAACTAGGAAGCACTTTTGCATTGAAGAATGCTGGAGGAGAAGAGAACACTAATTTTTTTTATTTTTACTAATGTATGTTCAAACCCCTGACTCTTACTAGGCTCTTTTTAGATCACATCAATCAAATTAAGTATAATAATTACACATGATAAGTCTGTGTCAGCAAAGAAGCTGACCGCTAAATGAGATGCAGAACATCAATGACTGGCTATGGCCTATGCAATGCCTCTAGTCAGGGTTAATGAGCACAACAGATCCCTCTGGCCTTAAAAAGCTGCAAATGCAGGTAGTACATCTTGTTAGTATATGCAGTACTGGAGAACAGATGCTTGCCCATTTGAATCCCACTACGACAGTTCATTTCTTTAACTACGATTTTCGAAGAAGGAAACAGCTGTTGGCACATAAAGCAGACTACCTTGATGAGGCCCAGGATACACAAAGATGAAAAGATGTGTGCAGTCTCTTCATGCAAGAGAGGATACATGGTACCACTTCCTAGTGCCTGAAGCTGGGAAGGAGATTGGGAATGGTGGGGATGGAGCTGTGCCATAGATTTACCACAAAACCATGAGGAGCTCTGGCCATTAGTATCAAAGGTGGAGAAAGAGAGATTATTTCAATGAAGAAACCCTAATGGCAACATCTGAACCCTAGAGTGGTAACAAGGACAACTGAAAAAAGAAAGCATTATATTCTGCCTTATTAGCAGACTGTTTTAGGGGAGAACAGTCAATAGAACTGTGGTTTTGCATTTCAGCATTTATACCTCTTTGAGAACATACATATCGTTATCAATCTATAGATCAGTTTCAGAACAAAAATACACTGCAAGTGGGTAGCTGGGGCTTATCCTTCCGAGATTTAGGTATGGAGAAAAACAGCTCTTAGAGTGGCAGATTTACAGAGCTTTGCCTTCATAAAATCTGAGTCTTCCTGCAGCCTACTGCCTATTGTTCCAACTGCTCATCTCCTCTAGGGCTGAAGAGTGACCAGAGAAGTGTTTTGTTATGGCTATGCTATGATCCTACAGGATCACATATCCACCCTTCTAGGAAGATATGAGAAAGGCAGAAAAAAAGAAACAGGAAATAAAAGATTTGCACCTAAGTGAAAGATAATGAGGTCTGTGATGGGCATTAGTTCCCTGTGGTAGGTCATTCTCCCATCTTGGCCTGGGAAATGTCACTCAGAATGGGTGGTGTTTTCCTTTCAATTAATCTCAGAGATTTGATTCTATTATCTGGTTTCCTAGTTAAATCATAAGAGAGGCAAAATCAGGGTGCGGAGAAAAGCTCCAGCTACATCCAGCTGCAAGAGGAAGTGTGAGGAAAAAGCAACAGAGGATATCTGCTTAAGTTTCTTTAAAATACTAAGGCTGTATGTAGCTGCTATGCTCCAGTTAAACATGCAAGAATGAGCAAATTTCCAGATTTTTAAAAAATAAAACCTTAAAGAGCCCAGTTTCATATGCTTTCAAGATGAAACAAATTATGGCAAGAATGAGAGAAGATGATGACAACTTCTCTAGGAGCAAACCTTTCCCACCAAGAAAGCCTTCAGAATAGAACAGTCTTGCAGCACGTCCTGAGGGCTAAGTATGCTCTCGACTGAGAAAAGGAGCAAGACTCATCAGTGAGAAGGACTCTTCATGGAACACAGTTCATCTCCTACAAAGGTATGGGCTTTACAGGAAGGAAGAAGGAAAAGCAACACTTGTGTTCCCACGGAACAGCTCTCACGATTCCTTTTCAAGTTGTAAGTCTCTATTGCCCTGTAAAGTGACAAAGTGCCATTATGCTTCCATTTCTTTATCTGTCAAGTGGAGATTAGACAAGTGGAGTTACTTGCAGGAAATTTGAACAGAAATACCAGTTTAGTGCAAACAGTGTGTAAGGATGGAGACTGGTGGAGTGGCAAATAAAGAAGTCTTTCAGGCAGTGATCTGAATTGCTTGACAAGTTGGATGCAACCAGCTATTTCCCATAAATAGTAACCAGAGAAAAACCCAAATAAGCCGTAGGAAGAATGAGATCATTTCCACTTTTGGAATAATATTTAACATTAACATTTCCTTATGGGGATGGGCCCCATGCACAAGGCCCTTACACAGAAAGGACAGACATTGCTGCCAAGTT